GGGAGGTAGTGAATTATAAGAGCAAACTCACACTAGGCCCCTCAAACTCACAAAATTGCAAAATTGCAAACTCACAAAATTGCAAACTCACAAAATTGCAAAATTGCAAAATTGCAAAATGAACGGCCAGATGGAGTCCTTGTAAGGGAAGGAGGAATAGATCTGAACGCTCATTTTTTTGGGATTTTGCAATTTTGAGGGGCTAGAGTGAGTATGCGCTAAGTTCGTGAACTTTTTCAAAGAGCTTTTCAGCACGTTTCACTGAATAGACAGTGATGTCATAGTAAAAAAGACAGTTTCTATTTTTCCAACTTTAATGTCTTTTTTGAGGGTTTTTTTTTCGTGGCCTGGTCCCTTGGGGACTACTGTTGTTTTTCCCTTTTTCTGTGACGAACACTGACATGAGGATGGTTTTTTTTCTTTCTTTCGTGACAAATTTCTGATTGTCGCATGCAGTTTCAGGCAAACACCACGCAGCGCGACTATGGGGCCTGGGACAAACAGAGCAAGAAAAGCTTTTCTGATTCTAAGCAGGTATCACTTTGTGTTTCCCGTTTTTTTTCTGATATGGTTCGAATTCTGCCCATGTAAGGGATGCTGGACCCGTTTTCTGGCAGGTGCTGCTCCCCACCAATAGATGGAGCTCCCCACTAGTTGTTAAAAAAAAAAAAAAAAAAAAAAAAAAAAAGAAAAAGAAAAAGGTATCACTTCGTGTTTTCCGTTTGTTATTTCGTTTCGCCTTCATTACGAATCGTTCCCGCATTTTCTATTTTTATGATCTATCGTCTAGTCTGCCAGCCCGCCCGGACACGCAGGCAGGAGCTCACCCGGAAAAAGCACGCGGATCGAAAAATAGTCAACGATTGAAAAAAAGAAAGAAACAAAGAGATTTGACTTCAGGCCAGGACTGCGCTTGGCCTGAGCTGTGAGAATCCGGTCTTTATCTTCCAATTCGATTATGGGTCACCCAGAGGGGGGGGGGGGGGTCAGGGGGTATGTAATTACTATAAAGTTATAAACTAGTATAAAGTTATAAACCTAGGCTGCAAACTCCACCCGGCGGAGGCGCCCAGCCCATCTGCCTGGGCGGGGTGCGCAGTGAGAGGTCCAGCTGGCATGGCCGCGCCAGCCAAAATCTGCCCGAGATCTTTCCTTTTTTTCTTTTTTTTCTTTGGTTTTGGGGTGCATCCTAGGCTACCCGAGTGGCCCGGGGCCACTTGCCCGGCCGGGCCAAAAAAAATAAAAAAAATAAAAAAATAAAAATGATCTCTTGAGTTTTAACTTTATTTTTTATTTAAAATTTGGTAAAGAATTTCGATGTGACCCTGAGGCAAAAGTTGTTCATGTTATTTTTCTGCATAACATAGTTTGTTTGTTTTTTTGTTTTGTTTTTTTGTTGCTAGGACCTTCCCTGTTCCTTGCACGGCCAGGCTGTCCGGGAAAATAGGGTGACCCGGGCGGCCCAGCTGGTAGCCTAGGGTGCATCTATATTGTGCTTGTCGAGAACATGCGAATTGTCCACCTTTTTCTGAAATTCGAAATGTGGTTCCGCCAGGGGTTGAGGGCAGTAATATGGCGGGCAGAGGGGGAAGGATCGGGAGAGGGGGTAAATGAGCGTTGGTAGATGAGTGTTGGTAGAGGTGCCTTGGTAGAGGAGGAATGATGTCAGAAGACACATGTAAGAAGAAGAAGAAACAGAAGAAGCAGCAGCAGCAGTAGCAGAGGAAGAAGAAGAAGGAGGAGGAGGAGGAGGAGGAGGAGGAGGAGGAGATGGAGCTGGCGGGCAGAGGGGGACGGATAGGTAGACAGGGGAGAGGACGTTGTAAGGAATCGGCCCGATGATAGGCACAAACAGTGGTGCTCAAAACGAAAAAAATCAGAACTTCGAGTACCCGAGCCACCCCTCCCCCAGCTGCACCGCTGCGCCTGTAGCCTAAACCATAACTGCTGGGTATCCGAGACAAAGCCTGAGGCATTCGGCTCTCGGATTCACGAAGATGTTTCCGCGGCAATCTCAGCACGCCCGCTAATTGATAGGACTTTTTTGCTTCAGGGCCTTCAGGCAATCCGACAGTTTTCAACTTCCTCTCGGGACCAATCGATCCAGTCGATGTTTCCTCTTAGGACCGCTAGAGGAAGAAGTGCGGTGTGGTTGTCTTACAGTATTCCGGATAATAAGGCCCTGGTTTTGTACTTGCTGGTGGAAAGGAACCGGACTGGCACACCCCGTTATGGGGCTTCCACTGAATGAACAAGGAGCCAGGACCATAAGGACATGTTTTAAATTTTAATACAAAAAAAACAAAAGAAAGAACGAAGTAAGAGTTCCTGTGGCACACCCCGGTATGGGGCTTCCGCTGCCTGGGACATAGAAATGGGGCGGAAAAAAGAGCTGGCCCACAGCCTGGTCAGCGGGCTGCGGGCTGCGGGCTGCGGGCTGGGGGCTGCGGGCACAGCAGAGGCTGTGGGCGCTGAGCAGCCATAGCCAGGCAGGCTCAGCAGTAGCTGGTGATAGTGATGGCGATGGTGGTCTTCGGGAGTGAGGCCGCACGCTGTGGGAGACAATGGGGTGAAAGTTGAGGGCGATGAGAGGCACGTGTACCTGGTGTATGCGGCAGTCTGCATGTGCGGCTTCGTCACGTACATCGGTCTTCAGCGTGATATTGCAATTTGGACAAAGGGGGAGAGAATGGGGTGAGGTTGAGGGCTATGAGTGACAGCGTGCGTGAAGCGGTTTTCCTTTTGCATCACATAGTGTAGACTATAGAGTAGGTACTGAGTAGATGTAGGCAGGGTGCTGCTCGCCAATTGAGAAGGAGGGCAACATTGGATATATTGTCGGTGGTGGTGAGAGAGGGCTGACATTGACATTAGAGTTCTTCATTGTATATTGCTCTTATTTGGCTTGTATCTCGGTGCATTGTGCTTTCTGCTTGGTACATGACGACTATCTAATATCTATTCTTCAGCGTGATATTGCAATTTGGTTTTCTGTCTATCCGACTCTATCGCTCCCCGCTCATTTTCCCTTGCATTTTGGAATTTGCCGAGTTAAAAAGAAAAAAAAAAAAATAATAATAATAATAATAACTATTTTTGGTGTACTATGTGTGGTTTCCTTGCTGTGTTCTACCTCTTCTTTTCCTTTTCTTTTTGTTTTTCTTTTCTTTTCTTTGTTTCTTTTTTTTTTCCCTTGTTTCTTCTTCTTTTTGCCCCGTTTTTTTTGGTCGCTGGTACGGGTGTCTTGCTGCAGGGATACAACAAGAATTGCCAAAGGGGGAAAGGAGACAATAGACTATTTTCAGGATTTCTGTATGAGGTTCGGGACGCATGTGCTTACGTGCCCAAGAAGTAAACCTGGTGCGATCCTGCTGTTCCTAGGACCGTCGCCAGGTTCACAAGAGGGTAGGGTGACGCCCAAGAAACGGTGGGTGTTGCAGAACACAAGATTACTGAACCTGGTCCTTTGTTGGCTCAGTCATTCATTCATCGGTTTACACCCAGCCATCCTCCAAGACTGCTGAACCTGGTCCATTTCCATTCCTGGTACAGACGGACGTATGGTGCAGAACATCATACTTCAGACTTGGTCAACCTGGTCCATTTCTGTGAACCTGATGGTCCTTTGCTCTGGTTCAAGACAGACTGAACCTTGCTCAGTTCTGGTTTCTTCAATGGATCATTTCCGTTCAGCACAACACCAGGAGAGAGAGAGAGAGAGAGAGAGAGAGAGACAGAGAGAGACACAGAGAGAGACACAGAGAGAGAGAGAGAGAGAGAGAGAGAGAGAGAGAATGCATATTTTATTATTTTCACATGTGATAATGCATATTTTTTTTATTATTTTCACATCTGATAATGCATATTTTCACATCTGATAAACCAGCTTCATGCCTGGTTCATGTACAGTGGAATGATTGCCATTCCATTGCAGTCATGGTGCAAACCAGCTTCACACTCCTGGTTCAAACTTCAAACCAGCTTCACACTCCTCGTTCAAACCAGACCCGCTCCTGGTTTGCAGTGGAATCCTGGTTCAAACCAGTGTCACTCCTGGTTCAAACCAGTGTCACTCCTGGTTCAAACCATTCCATTTCATTCCTGGTTCAAACCATTCCATTTCATTCCTGGTTCAAACCAGTGTCACTCCTGGTTCACAGTAGTGCCTTGCCATTTGTATTGCTGGCACCGGCTTCACACTCCTGGTTCAAACCAGACGCACTCCTTGTTGAAAGCAGACGTATCCCTTGTTTGTAGTGGCAACCTTCCCATTCCATTCCGTTCCGTTCCGTTCCTGGTTCAAACCAGCGTCCCTCCCGGTTCACAGTGAAGCCTTGTCATTGTATTGCTGGCTGGTGCAAACCAAGTTCACTCTTGGTTCATAGTGGAGCCTCCACCCGTCAATCCATTCCTGGTTCACACCGCGTGAACCTCTCAGTCCTGGTTTCCAAAGGGGATCGATACAACAAGAAAAACATAGCATGCTGTGGAGTTCCCACTGTACCTGGCCCATTCCTTGATCCATATTCCAAATTATAACAAGAAAAGAAGCTCAGGGAAAAGGGCAAAGAAAAAGCGCTCTCTTGCCGAGTCCTGAAGAACCTCTACGTACATGGCACCATCTTTCCCTCACCACATTTCGTCGACTCTCTATCCCTCCGTGACACATAACCTCGACACGTATCTTATACACATATGCTTGCGTTGTATGCATTGTTGATGATTAGGGTTTCTCCGACTTGTCGTGCTTGGTGGGGGGGAGGAGAATTTGATCCCGATGAGACTCGACACGACTCCTGGACCATCCGCAGAAAATAGTCTAAGGGACCCAAACTGGGACCCCATTCGCAGTTCCAGTTCTAGTTCCACTCACTCCAAGGTTCACTTGAGTACCAATATCTATCTGTGACTACACTTCCCCATGACCCCAGGCAGACAGACCCGACAATGATCACACGTGTGCATCACCTCAGCGGACGGACCATGATGGCACTTCCAGACATGCTCCATTGCACTTCATTGCCACTTTAATTGCCTTCAAGGTTAATTAACTGCTTTAGCCAGCCGGGGCGGTGTACTTGCGGGTTGGCGGATGTTCCTACGGGATGACATGCACCATGCTCCATTCCTTCCTTACGCATCCCTGCTTCACCGCCCCACGCAGAAACAAAAAAGACCCAATACAACAACACACTCACACCTCCTCCCCATTAAGGCTGGGAGAGCCTTATGAACCTGGTCACGTTATGGTAAAAATCGAAACATCTTTCGGAATTGCTCAACCCCCGAGACAACAGATAGCGCGCGATCGTACGCTGAGGTGCCTCTTAGCGGGTAGTGGGGTAGTGGATATGCTCACCTAGGTTTGAATTGAAAGAGGCAGATTACCCACCAGTGTGCCACCGACCCGATACAACAACACACTTACGCCTCTCCCCATGAAGCCTAGGAAAGCCTAGGCCACGGACCCAAAAAATACAACAACCCACTCCCGCCTCTCCCCATCAACGCTGGGAGAGCCTGAGCCTCTGCTCATCAGAGATGGCTTCCTTGAGTGCATATGACCTCAGCTACAAAGTAGGTGGGGACCGCCATTCATTACTACATCCCGAAAGGACCTGCAAGTACTGAAAATTCACTTAAAAGTTAAAATACTCCAGAGTCCAGACTATACTCCAGAGTCCACAGTCCACAACTCACTTCCCCAGCCTGTTGAAGACCGCCGCAATTCTTCTCGTGCACACCAAGTCCCTTACTCGAGAGCGACTACTGCATGGAAGAAAACTATTCCTCTTGCTCCCTCACAATTGCGCAGCCAATCTTGTTGCCTCTGATAGTCAGCCCCATTCCTTTGCCATCCTTTATCCCTTCCTGCTTCAGACATGATTATTTCCTCGTTCTCACGTGCTCCATCCCTTATCCGGTGCTTATGTATCCCTTATCCATTGCTTATCTATCCCTTACCCAATCCTTATCCATTTCTTATCCATGTCGTGGATTACCGGCACACTGACACACCAGCCGAAACAAGCTGCCCGCTTATCGCCACAGAGCTTCACGCCGATGGCAGCTTCACGCACTTTTTTTTTTTTTTTTCATAACATATTACCAGCTGATGTGCTCGAAGGACTTCTACCATCCTTTCTTCCTCCTCCTCCTCCTCCTCCTCCTCCTCTTCTTTAAGTTCTTCTCTCTATGTGGCTCAGGCTATTGTCGGAATGGCTTTTACTCTGCTTCAATTGCTTTGAGAGTCATCCCTTGGCTGATTAATGTTGCATTGAGGTTTTCTCCTCGACTCCAATGATCCTTCCCTTATCCATTGCTTGTGCATCCCTTATCCGTTCCTTATTCGTGCCTCAGCCGTCCTGCTTATGACATGATCCATTCCTCACTGTGGCATCATCCATTTCTGCTCTTTTTCTGACGTGGTCCATGGGGATCCCTCCTTTGCTTATTTGACGATCAATCCCCTAAACACAAGCGAACCCCCTAATCATTTTGATGTCAATTGAGTCGATGTCACTTTCATCCCTGGTTTATATAGTAGTAGTTTTTTAACTGTCCGCCCATCCATCCATCCATCTGTTCCTGGTTTATCGGGAGTTCCATGGAACATACCATGGGTCATTACTCGTTCAGCAGGATATCCCCGTTTCACGAGCGAAGCAATCTGGGCGGTAATCCCAATCCCAACCCTAGTGTATTCACCGATGACGCTGGTCAGCGATTTGACCTACGAAGCTGGTCAGCGATTTGACCGACGCGGGTGGTCAGCAACTTGACCGACCAGGCTGGTGAGCGATTTGACTGACAATGAACGTCAGCAATTTGACTGACCAGGCTGGTCAGCGATTTGACCGACAATGCTGGTCAGCGATTTGACCGACCAGGCTGGTCAGCGATTTGACCGACGCGGGTGGTCAGC